TGGCGGGCGCCTGTAGTCCCAGCTACTCGGGAGGCTGAGGCAGGAGAATGGCGTAAACCCGGGAGGCGGAGCTTGCAGTGAGCTGAGATCCGGCCATTGCACTCCAGCCTGGGCGACAGAGCGAGACTCCGTCTCAAAAAAAAAAAGAACTGCTGGACTCAAGTGATCCACCTGACCTGGCCTCCCTAGGTGCTGGGATTACAGGTGTGCACAACCACACCACACCTGGCTGATTTTTGTATTTTTTGGTAGAGACGGGGTTTTGCCATGTTGGCCAGGCTGCTCTCAAACTCCTGGACTCAAGCTATCCACCCTCCTCAGCCTCCCAAAGTGCTGGGATTACCCAGGCTGGAGTGCAGGGGTGGTATCATGGCCCACTGCAGCTTCAGACTCCTGTCCTTCAAACTCCTGTCCTGATCCTCCTGCCTGAGCCTTCCTATTAGCTGGGACAACAGGCGCGTGCCAGCATGCCCAGCTAATCTAGCTCATTCTTTTATTTATTTATTTATTTATTTATATTTTTTGAGACAGGGTCTCCTGTCACCCAGGCTGGAGTGCAGTGGCATAATCATAGTTCACTGTGGCCTTGAATTCCTGGGTGCAGGTGATCCTCCTTCCTTAGCCTCTTGAGTAACTGGAACTACAGACACATGCCACTATGCCCAGCTAATCTAGGTCTCTATTTTATTTATTTATTTATTTATTTATTTATTTATCTATTTATTTTTGAATACAGAAATTTGCTCTTGTTGCCCAGGCTGGAGTGCAATGGTGCGATCTCAGCTCACTGCAAACTCCACCTCCCAGGTTCAAGCAATTCTCCTGCCTCAGCCTCCTGAGTAGCTGGGATTACAGGCGTGCACCACCACACCCGGCTAATTTTGTATTTTTGGTAGAGACGGGCTTTCTACATATTGGTCAGGCTGGTCTCCAACTCCCGACCTCAGATGATCCACCCACCTCGGCCTCCCAAAGTGCTGGGATTACAGGCGTGAGCCACTGCGCCCAGCCTATTTCTATATATGTTTCAAGATGCCTGGCCAATTTTCTGTAGAGACAGGGTCTCGCTCTGTTGCCCAGGCTGATCTTGAACTCCTGGTGTCAAGTGATCCACCCACCTCGGCCTCCCAAAGTCCTGGGATTACAGGCGTGAGCCACGGTGCCCGGCCTTGTCTCTCAGTCTTTATTCCACTCCCACCTCCCACTTGGGCCTCTTTGACCACCCACATGGCCCTGGCCTCCCAGCCTCTTCTAAACCTCCCCCATTGGCACAACCCTCTCCAACGTGGGTGGGCCGAGGTTGGACCTGTGCCCCTGATGACCCTTTTGCCCACCTGCAGACAGTGGAGATGCACCCTGCCTACACCGAGGAAGAGCTGAGGCGCTTCGAAGAGGAGCTGGCTGCCCGGGAGGCAGAGCTGAATGCCAAGGCCCAGCGCCTCAGCCAGGAGACAGAGGCTCTAGGGCGGTCCCAGGGCCGCCTGGAGGCCCAGAAGAGAGAGCTGCAGCAGGTGACAGGGGGGGAAGCTGCTTCCATCCACTGAATCTCTGGCCACCCTTGTCCGTGTCCCCATGGGTGTCCAGAAACTGAGAAGGCCTGTGGCCACCATGTTAATCACTGGGGGAGCCTCAAGTATTCACCGCCATCTTGAGTAAGGGCAGACGTTTTCCTGTCTCTGACAGCTCTGTGGCTGCCATGTTAGATAAGGGCAGTTAGCCTGTAAGTGAGGAGGGAAATGCCCAGGAGGGGGAGAAGAGCAGACTCAGCCAGGGATGGGTGAGAGCTTCCCTGTCCCAAAGCAGGACCCAAGCCGTGGCTGGAGGGAGAACTGGATCCTTGACTATCATTAAGCCTGACTGTCAATGAAAGAAAAACAGGCCCACGGAGAAGGGATTGGCCAGTGACCACTTAGCATGTTGCTGTGAAGTCTGAGTTTGGGGACTGAGGCCTGAGTACTTGCAGTGCCAGCGTCACACCCTCTTGTGTGTGTGACCCCTCGCCTCCCGCAGGCCGTGCTGCACATGGAGCAGCGAAAGCAGCAGCAGCAGCAGCAGCAGCAGCAGCAGCAGCAGGGCCACAAAGCCCCGGCCGCCCACCCTGAGGGGCAGCTCAAGTTCCACCCAGACACAGGTGCTGGCCCTTGTCTGGGGAGGAGGGGCTGCAGGGCTGGACCCCTGGATCTGAGGTTGGAGGGGCTGGGGCCTGGACTCCCAGATCCGAGGGAAGAGAGGCTGGGGGCCCAGTCTTCCGGGTTTGAGGGAGGAGGGGCTGGGGCCTGGACTCCCAGGTCGGAGGGAAGAGGGACTAGGGGCCCAGACTCCTAGGTCGGAGGGAGGAGGGGCTGGGGGCCTGGACTCCCAGGTCGGAGGGAGGAGGGACTGGGGGCCCAGACTCCTAGGTC